GCTGGGCTTAAACCATGACAATATTAAACTTACAGTGTATTTGATTAGAGTTCTAAAGAGAAAAAAGTACTTGTGCTTGGTTCTGATCTTTATTACCTGGCTAGGGAAGTGTTCAAAAACCATGCAGATGAGACCCTCATTGACATGGTTTAGTGATGGACTTTGCCATACTGGGGTAGTGGTTGGGTTTCCTTGACAGGAAGTTTTAGCTATGAATAATAGGAAGTCTTTGCCAGGAAGGGGAAACGGAAATGATTTATAGTATAATTGAGTTAGGAGTCCAGAAAAAATTGGGAAGATACTAAGCACTTCTTGGTGGAGCGAGAGGCAACCCATCTTAATCATAGAATCATAGAATAGTTAGGGTTGGAAAGGACCTTAGGTTCATCAAGTTCCAGCCCCCCCTGACATGGGCAGGGACACCTCCCAATAAACCCTGCCACCCAAGGCTCTGTCCAGCCTGGTCTTGAACACTGCCAGGGATGGAGCATTCACAACCTCCCTGGGAAACCCATTCCAGTGCCTCACCACCCTAACAGGAATGAATTTCTTCCTTATATCCAGTCTAAACTTCCCCTGTTTAAGTTTTAACCCATTACCCCTTGTCCTATCACTACAGTCCCTAATGAATAGTCCCTCCCCAGCATCCCTATAGACCCCCTTCAGATACTGGAAGGCTGCTATGAGGTCTCCACGCAGCCTTCTCTTCTCCAGGCTGAACAGCCCCAACTTTCTAAGCCTACAGGTGCTCCAGTCCCCTGATCATCCTCGTGGCTCTTCTCTGGACTTGTTCTAACAGTTCCATATCCTCTAATATGTCCTTGTCATTTAACAGTTCCATGTCCTTTAACAGTTCCATGTCCTAATAACATGTTACTTCATTTTGCACGATGTATATAAGAGGATTTTAGGTAGTTGGCTGACTATTCCCAAGAAAATACTAATTTTGGGGAGTTAGTGCAGTAAAGTTGACTGAATAAAAAAAATCCCTCTTGGTTTATTTAATCCTTAGTTTGCTGTGTGGGCAAGCAGTATGTCCTGGGTTCAGCAGTAGCAGTCATTTTCTCTTAGTAGCTGGTGCAGTGCTGTGTTTTGACTTTCAGCCTGGGAACAGCGCTGATAACATTGATGTTTTTAGTTGTTGCTATGTCATGTTTACTCTGACCAAGGACTTTGAGTCTCATGCTCTGCCAGAGAGGAAGGGAAGCAGGAGGATGCAGAGACAGGACACCTGACCCAAACTGACCAAAGAGGTATTCCATACCACAGCACGTCATGCCCAGTATATAAACTGGGGGCAGTTACCCGGAAGGGTTGGGTATTGGTTGGCGGGTGGTGAGTGGTTGTATTCTTTTCCCTTGTGATTTCTCTTGTCATTATTATTATTGGTAGTAGCAGTAGTGGTCTTATGTTACACCTTAGTTACTGGACTGTTCTTATGTCAACCCGAGGGAGTTACATTCTTTCGATTCTCCTCCCCTTCCCTCCAGGAGCGGAGGGTAGGAAGAGGGTGGGGGAGTGAGAGAGCGAGCTACGTGGTTCTGAGTAACTGACTGGACTTAAACCATGACACAGTACTTGACCAATAAAGCTGTTCTTACCTGAGAATGAAACAGGTGTTGAGGCAGTGCAGTGCTTTTACTCTTCCTCTCTAAAAATCTCACTTTGCATTTGGCTTTGCACATGTGTTCTCACCTTGGAGTTAATTCTGAACCTCAGCTCATTCTTAAACCACTCTCATGCATTCTTGAGTCGCGGTTGGAATGTCTCTCTCAAGGACTCTCACCAACAGTATTGTGCTTTCCTCTTTATTTTCAGCAGAATGAATATGGTAGCACCTCTTGTTTCGCTGTCAGTGAAGAGGCAGACTCACTTTGCAGGTGAATTTCCACTTGTCCTGAGGTCCTTAATGGTTTGTGAGCATTTTTCTTTTGCCTACAGGAAGGATATTACAATATCTTCATCACTTCCAGCCATATATGGCTTTAGGGCATTGGCTGCTGCAAATTATCATACTTTTCTGAAGAATTTTTCTTGGCACACCTTACTGGAGATCCACTGAGAGCAGTTGGTGGATCTCCAAGATTTTTTTTTTTAATTTTTTTTTTTGCCTATATGTTTTTTTCCCTTTAGCCTTGTTATGTCCAGTGGAAAGTATCTGGAAATCTGAGGATGAGAGAAACTGAGGGCTTCTTAATGCATGTACCTTCCACTAAGGGAGAGGACATTATGATACATAGTGTGAGTGCATTTGTGTGATCATAGTCAAGGTAAAAAGCCTTCCATCTCAAGAATTTTTGAAAATTGTGCAAACTTGTTCATAGATAATATATCTCAAACAGCCTCTATATACTACTTCCTTTTACTTTTGATTGTTAGATAAAGAATAGGAATTGGAGAAGTTAATGCACACATTTTCAGATAAAAGCTTTTCCAGTTATGCCCTCCCCTAGATATACATGTACATTCCATATAATGTTGTAATGTGGGAAAGGAATAGAGGAATTTGACTAGCTGGGATTTGTTTCTTTTTTTCTAATTATTGATTGCATCTATTATGCACAGGTCTTACTCTTCAAAATGGGCATCAAATAATCTAAGAAACCTGTCGGACTAATGGAGTATTTTGTCTACTGTCGACACTACACTTACAGGCTCAGTTCAAAGTTTTGCTCTTCCCACTGCACCTTAATTAGTGTATTAATTCATATTGTTAAAAATCCTGGTTTATTCACTGTTCTTAGTGTTTTCAAAGAAGAGCTGTGTTACTGCTTTCATAGTATCTTGGAAATGGTTGAAGAGAATGATTACAAGTAGGTCTGTTATACTGAGTAGTACAAGGTGAACAAATAAGCTTTTTCCTGTGGTTAAAAAAAAAATGTTGAAAAATATCTTTGTTTTTAAAGTTATGTTGGGGCTGATTTCAATCAGACCAGTCGTGACAAACACTGCTCTTCAGAAAGAATGATTTTCAGACTGAGAGGTATCACTGGCTCTTCATTTTAAAATTTTATTTATTTTTGAAGTTGCAGTGTACTCGGACTTCAGGTCCCTTTAAAGAAAGCTAGTAACTCTCTTGGAGGATACAAAAGAAATGTGATGGAGCTTACAATGTTTATGGGAGAGACTGTAGTGTAATAAAGGATGTTTGCTATTTGAGCAACATTCCAAGATGTACATGATACCTTAAGGAAAGTTAGGTGATAGATCTTACAGCTAGGGCTTGACTTTCCTTATGGGTTATAGGCCTTTAGGAGTGATGAAACAGCTTCTTATCCTTAGTAGTAACATTACAACTTTGAAAGAGATGTCAGGACAGGCACATTTCCATTTGACTCTTCCCATTTGATTTATTTGGATTATTGTGTTTTGGATTTGCATTAAGGAGATCTTTTCAGGAGCTGGGGAGGAAAATACTGACAGTGAGTGTACAGATGGTGGTGACCATGCTTATGACTGGTTGGATTGTCTTTTGGGTGGAAGAGCTGTTAGCCTGATCACCTACTGAGATTGACAGAGAACCCTTTTACTTATGCATAAACTATGTGTAGAAAAGTGTGACACTTAAATGCTGGAAGAAGAAAATTCTCTTTTTCTAATGGAAACAAACAATTTTCTAATGACGATCAAAATAAAAGGCAAAAGATTAAATTCACTGTTGGTATAGCACTCTGTACTATGAAAATAACCAAATAACCAGAAAAAGTGTAACACAATAAATGTTTGTTTTCTAAAGTAGCTTTCTTTGAATATTGTTTTTTCAAAGACACGCAATTAATAATAGATCTCTGTTTGTCATTGTAAAGTGGCTTAACCTGAATTCCTAATGCTTACATCCTTAATTTGCTACTTCTGCTTTGAGAGCAACCAGTGAGCTGTATTGGAATACCAGGGATATGTTCATAAAGTATTTATAAGTAGACACAGGTGTAACGTGGAAGGCCATGCGTTCTAGTCTTCATCCTTTTCAGGAAGTGTCTTACGTAATCTTTCCTGAATTTTGGACAGGAAAAGTAATTTGACTATACAGTAACTCCCTGTAATTATTATTATCAATTATGTAAGAATAATAAATCCTTTGTTAATAGATCATCATTGACTATCGTTCCCTCTTAGAAGTAGTGTTATAAAATGTAGTAGACCTTGTATTTTGCAGCATTAACTATGCATATCTATATCTCTGTTAGTATTTGCAGCACTACAGAGATCTGTTTCTCAGGCAGCTCTCAATCTACATTAACATTGGAGTGATATATATGTAATGCAGCTGCTTCAGTGAAGGCTGTGAAGACTAGCAAGTGTGTAGTAGTTTATGTAAGGGCATTACATGACTTGAGTAGGATGAAAAAATCAACTGATGTCAGTATCCCAACCCCTCTTGTACCTTTGTCAAGCCTGTTTCAGCCTGTTGATGCCGAGTTGCAGTGAGCTGCAGTGAGTGCTCTTTTCCCCTTCATTTCTTAAAAATTCAGGTTCCCTTAGACGTTTTAAGTGTAAGTTACGCTGATATGATATAGAGTAGAAAACCGTGCCACTAATTAGAATAATGACCTGTGGATAGTGCAGGGCATAAATCAGTCTGTGTTTCATTACAACAAATCAAGGCAAATGAACTTGATCTTGAAGGTCTTAAAAATAAAGTAAAAAAAAAAATCTGGACAATGTTTGAAGTGGTCTGAAAAATTAAAGAGTCGTGATCACAAGCAGTCTAGCTGAAGCCTTAGGATCTTTGAAATTTCATGATACTATCTGAATACCACTCTGAAGCTGTTATGTGCTGAACCTAAATTGGGGAGAGGTCATGAGATTCCTCATTACTGTCACACCTTTGTACAGCTCTCTCACCCCCCACCTTCTTCTCCTGTGTTTCCTTGTTCAGATACATTCTTTGACAAATTAAATTCCCCAAGTAGTTAAGGCTTTCTGACAGAGATGTATTTTTGGCAAGTTGCAGAGTCTGGGGATGAATACTTACAAAAGTGTTTGTTTATTTATTTAAGGTTGCTAATCTTGCTTGTTCATTATCAACAAATGAAGATGGAATGAAAATTGTCCAAATGGCGGCTAATCACATAGAGACTTTATGTCCACAGGTATGGCTTTTTCAGTTAATTCCCATTACAGTGCACTGAGCATACACTCTTATTTTTGTCACACAGCATAGGTAGTCATGCTTGTTCAGTCGAATTTCACATTCTGTTCACACAGCTTAGTGAGTAAATGGAGACCAAATGATAAACCAAGGGCAAATACTCAGTTCATTTGTTTATTTTTTATTAGTGCTTAACATAGGAACTGTAAATAATTTGGGGAGTTTTTAAAAGCTGTAGGAATGTCAATTGAAGAAACATGCTGCTGTGTTTCTGAAATTACACCTGATTGAATGAACAGTGTACCATAATAGGCAAATTGGGAGTATTTTTTACAGTTAGAAAGCAACATATTTTGACCTTTAAAGTGAAATATAACCATTTGATTTGGATTTTGTGTATGTGAATGTTATTATGAATTCTTCTCAATATTACCAATTCAAAAGCATGTCTTAAGCAAGTGAATGAAAAACAGCACAGATACAAATAAATTTTTGGTACTTAATACATTATAAAATGTGTATTCACTCCGTATTTGTACATTTAGAATTATAGAGCTGTAAAAACTGCTCTAGTTAACAACTGTTCAGAGCAAAGATTTTATTGATTTGTGTGAATCTGATTTGAGTGCTTCAGACTTGAGGCTGAATAATTTCAAGATCATTAGTTCTTTGAAGGATACTGTTGTTTACACAGCGGCCTAAATAGTCGTATCCTTTTGTGTGTTTGCAGGCTAAATGTAGTTGAAATAGGAGGTGAAGAGCAAATATTAGTAATATATTCAATTATAAGCTGGTGAAGTCCATTTTATGCCTGTTGAGGAAATCCCGGAGGGGGGGGGGAGGGGGGGGAAGAGGGGAAGAGAAACTTTAATCAAGGAAATGTGATATTCTGAAAATATCACAGATCAGTGTTCTCTCCTGAAATGTCCAGTTTCAGTGTCTTTTTTTATAACTTTTACAGTTCTGTGGTTCACATTCCTCTCTATTCGATTTAACCTGTTACTGGTTTTGTAAGATTGCTTGTAAGAAGAACTCATGCGTAGCTTCTTCCAGCCTCTTAGTTTCTCCAGGGGTACAAGTTTCATCTTTCTAATATATTATTATGCATTCAGGTGTAGTATTTTAATTTAAACCTAACACTTTTAGTATTGCATCATAGCAGAAACTCCTAAAATCCAATTTTTACTAAAATACTGATTTTTCTCCACAACCAGTTAAGTTGCTAGGGTTTTCATTTCCTACAGTAAAATGGACATTTCTTGCTTGTTTCCAACTCCTCCCCCGCCCCCCCCCCCCGAATTTTTTTTTTCTTTTTAAACCTCGAGGTTAACCAGGGGTGAAATAATTGATTATAGATCCGTCCAAACAGAGAGTGTAGTATGCACATGATAAGATCATGTGTTCATTATGCAGGATTTGCTGCTTGCTTAGATAAGGATCATTCCCTGTGAAAGCAATTGGCATTTTACCTAAGTAAGAAATAGTTGAATAAGGCTTCTGCATTTTTCAGTAAATCAGATTATGCCGTATCATTTAAAAATCCTCCACAGGGAAAATAATTATCTCTGAAGATCCCTTCAGGGCATATCAATTGGAGTTTGGAATGGAGAAATTTGTATTTAGAACTCCACAATATTTTTAAATCTTCAGAGTAACGAATTTTTTTTTTCTGTGCTCTGAAAAATCTATTTCTTGCCAGGAACTACGTGTTTTGGATTGAAATATAAAATGATTGAATTGAAATAGAAAACAGCAACAGCAAAAGAACCCCACCAAAAACCAACACCCAAACACATAACCAAAAAATCAGCAATAAAACCACCACCTATAAAAAATGCCTTGGAGTCTTGAGAGTTCTGCAGATTTGACCAGGAAAACTTCCTGTGTTGCACTAGGGAAAAGGCAGATACAGAGTTGACAAACCCTGAAGAAAAGCATTTTTGCTTCTTTTACATTCAATTACACTGTACTGTATTTAAAATGGAGAGGGTTAGTTCTGATTCTGAACTCTGACCATGGGTTGTTTTTTTCGTTTTTCCTCAAATGAGACTATTAGCGAATATTTTGTACAATAAGTGAAATAAGCTAGGCATGTATGTTAGAGCCAACACAAAGCACAGAATGCCTATTGTTCCTGAAATTGTACGAATGCTTCATGAGAAATTAATTTTAAGAATATCTAATGTTTAAATTAGTAATAAGGAATAGAATAAAGTAATAAAGGGCTGCTAGAATATGTTCTGATGAAGGAAGAATTATTTCTGTTCATGTCCGCTAGCTTTTGGTTGGGAGAATTTTCTTGAGTATTGTCAGGTAGGTAGACTCTACAAAGTCACTTGTTCTGTGTGGGAGTCCATGTTACTCTCCTGGTGTGCAAAGCCATGACCTCATTGCATACATGAGGAAGAGCGAAAAGGAAAAGAACCCACAAAGGCAAGCAAGCTTCTGTTCTGAGCAGCAAGGGTATAAACCCATAAATCTGTTTGGCTAATACAAATCTTGGGTTTCATATCTGTGTGCTTCAGTTCAGTGTCATATTCAAAGAAGTCTTAGGTTCTTCTAATAGTCCTCTGGAACAGGAAAAGATACCCCACAAAGGGTAAACCTTCAATATACAAATGGAAAAATATCCTAATTGTAGGAAAGCGGAGATTAGCAGAAAGGAATGTGGCTTCTCTAATTTTTTTATAGGTTTTTACATTTTTACAGGCTAATGAGCTTTCAGGTGGTTGAATAGGTATGTCTGGTACATCCGGCCAACAAGAGGAAAAACAAGGGAGAAAAGACCTAGAAAAAACTGTGTTTGTGTATAAGGAGACTCTAACCTGTTACTTGACCTAACTTCTGTGTTAGTACTGTTGTCTTTCCTTACCTCCCTTAAGGATAGGCCTCTGGTTTGACTGGGTTGGGGAGCTCTGCTGAGGGATATACTTGAGGAATAAGGATGTCTTATGCAACAAGCTCTGAAAGAGGGAATCAGTGAGAAGGAAGGATCAGAACCTTGATGTAGTTGAAGGCCTTAGACATGTGACTGAACCTGGGATAAGGATATGGAAGAGATATGTGTTGGAAGAGAGCAGAAAAGCAAGACTGAACAGCAGCTGAGGTGAGTGACAGTGTACTTCTTCTCTCTGAAACTTGTGTTTGTCAGAAACACATGTAGTGGAGGGGCTCTCATGCACATAATGGAAGGTAATAGCATTTTCCTCCCTGAAGGAATGACAGCCAGGGAGTGCCAAGACCATCAGTACAGGCAGATCCTGAGCTGGTATTTTTGAGGGGAAGAATGACCTTGATCTTAAAGCTGGAACTGATATTCAAAGTGGAGATCAGAAGTGGCTAGTCTGAAGGCAGCAGTTGGAAAGAGCTTCAGCATGTCAAAGGGCTCTGGCTAGAGCCTTTTTATTAGCGTAAAGAACCTTGGAAAATTTTAAGGAGCAGGAGGTTTAGGCTTGTTTTGTAAGAGCTGTACCTTAGAAAGCAAATTCTAGGGTCACTTGCTTTGGAGATCAGATCTTGCTAGAGGTTGCTGCTAGAGCTTGCTAATAGTTACTGAAATGGCACAGGGTGATTAGTTCTGATACATCATGAAAGGAAGCAAAATACAGGAAAACCATGTGTATATTCATGTAATGTTTATTTGGTGCTAAGTAATTTTTATAAAATCATTCAATCTCATGCAACATTTTTACCAGATGTCTAAAAAAAGAAAAGGTACACACTGGTGTAACCAAAACCTTGTATCTTAGTATGTTTGGTGACTTCTGTTTTTCTCTTAACTATTGTGAGATAGAATCATAGAGTCATAGAATACTTAGGGTTGGAAAGGACCTTAAGGTCATCAAGCTCCAACCCCCCTGCCATGGGCAGGGACACCTCACTCTAAACCATATCACCCAAGGCCTCGTCCAACCTGGCCTTGAACACTGCCAGGGATGGAGCATTCACAACCTCCCTGGGCAATTTATTACAGTGCCTCACCACCCTTACAGTAAAGAATTTCCTCCTTATATCCAATCTAAACTTCCCCTGTTTAAGTTTTAACCCATTACCCCTTGTTCTGTCACTACAGTCCCTAATGAAGAGTCCATCCCCACCATTCCTATAGGCCCCCTTCAGATACTGGAAGGCTCCTATGAGGTCTCCACACAGCCTTCTCTTCTCCAGGCTGAACAGCCCCAACTTTCTCGGCCTATCTTCATATCGGAGGTACTCCAGTCCCCTGATCATCCTCGTGGCCCTCCTCTGGACTTGTTCCAACAGTTCCATGTCCTTTTTATGTTGAGGACACCAGAACTGCACACAATATTCCAAGTGAGGTCTCATGAGAGCAGAATAAAGGGGCAGGATCACCTCCTTCAACCTGCTGGTCACACTCCTTCTGATGCAACCCAGGATATGGTTGGCTTTCTGGGCTGCAAGCGCACACTGCCGACTCATGTTCATTTTCTCATCGACCAGCACCCCGAAGTCCTTCTCCGCAGGACTGCTCTGAATCTCTTCTCTGGCCAGCCTTTAGCTGTGTCTGGGATTGCTCTGACCCAGGTGTAGGACCTTGCACTTGGCATGGTTAAACTTCATAAGGTTGGCATCAGCCTACCTCACAAGCATGTTAAGAACACTCTGGATGGCATTCCTTCTCTCCAGCGTATCAACCGAACCACACAGCTTGGTGTCATCAGCAAACTTGCTGAGGGCGCACTGAATCCCACTGTCCATGTCAGCGACAAAGATGTTAAACAAGACCGGTCCAAACACCGATCCCTGAGGGACACCACTCGTTACTGGTCTCCAGCCGGACATCGAGCCATTGACCAGAACTCTTTGTGTGCGGCCATCCAGCCAGTTCTTTATCCACCGAGTGGTCCATTCAATCAAATTGATGCCTCTCCAATTTAGAGACAAGGATGTCGTGTGGGACAGTGTCGAACACTTTATACAAATCACATCTAACACTAAACCATGCCACCCAAGGCTTTGTCCAGCCTGGCCTTGAGCACC